TGAGGCTGTCTAGCCTAATCACCAATAAATAGAAGCCTTTAAAATCAGCAGGAGTCCTGCATATGAAGAGCAGAGCCTACCTCTACTATTTCATTAGCTACCTGACTATTGAATAAGTTATTTCACTTTTGGTAGATTACCACTCAGTACAACGGCAGTAACATCTGTTCCACCTAACTCAGACAGCTAGATAGAGTAAGTTCACTTTCGAGAACTGAATGACTGTGAATATGGAAGCGCCGTATGAACTATAAAAAACTGTACAAATATAAAGGTGTTATACTGAAAGGGTCACCTTGAATATGCACCATATGGATTTATGGATTTACTTTATCAAAAATTTTAAATTAAAAATATCTTTTTTTAAATTAGAGACTGGAGAAAGTCCACTTTAGGCCACAAGACAACTCTGACTTTATGAACTTGAAAACCTTACAAATCATTCTGTATGAAAATTTATTGTAATAATGGATTAACAATGAAAAGTAATTTCAAAATGTCAAGAAAATAATGTGTAAGTGAAGTAGAAAATATTACATAGCTTCGTCTCTACTGAGAGAACAGAAAAAGAAAGATCTATACCCTTTTCTGCCATCAAAGTCTAAGGTTTTGTTTTGTTTTTATTTTTTCTGTTTATTTTTTTCTTCAAATTTGAAGCAGGGGCAGTGGGGCCCAGACTATGGGATAAAGAACACTGCTGGCTAGAACCTTCAAGACCAAAAGAAAAATCACATCATCCCATTGTCCCCATTAGTCTAAAATAGAAGGTGATGAGACAAAGCCACACATACATAGATACTAAAATTTTCCACAAAAATGAATAGACATTTAACATGGTAAAGTTTATATGAAGACAAAACTTAATATATATATATGCTCATAAGAACATAGTACAGGCATAAGGGAGAACCCAGGGGCATTCCAAACAGGTGAGGAAACACAAGTTGTTAAAAAAAAAATCAGAGGAAAGTATGAGGACAATGGTAGTAAAATGAAAAGACCCTATGGCCTAAAGAGCTACTAACTGGGGAAGAAAAAGCACACCCTACTTTTAAGTGTGCCTAAGCCCTTTAGAGAAAGATTATTAGCAGAATACCTTATAAAAGAAAATTATAACATATGGTATCACATAAATATAAGTTGATGTGGAAAACATGTGGGTACTTCTCCACTTTCACAGTCAGAATTAAAAAATGAGAAAACAAACCCCAGAAATGACAGATATAATAACTGAGGTGAGAAATGTAATCGGTAACTTCAGGATAGCAATGATTTAAGCAACTCCTGAGCTGAAAAGCTCAAGGGCTGGGTAGAGGAGACTGAAAGCAATTCAAAGATGAAGGTTGAACTGCAGAACCATAAAGCCTCATAAGTGTTTGAGAAGCTAGAACCTGTGCCCGGATGAACAGGTTCGTGTTGCTCGGGCTTAACTATTATCTCAAACATAACTGAGTACCTGCTATGGGTCAGGTCCCTTGCTGGGTGTTGTTGGGAGGAGAGGCCTGAGTCAGACAGTCCTACCTCCGAACATCCTGCGACTCCTGAAGGAGACAGGTTTGTACACAAGTACGTCAAATAGAAGACATGTGGTGAGAACAGTATGAGATGCATAAAGAGGTTATAATGTGGTGAAAAAGAGACCTCATTAGAATATAACACGAGATCCTGGGTAACTCTGGACTCAGAGGGCACCTGAGGTCTATTGCCAGCTCTGCCCTGAGCGGGCTGGGCATTTCTGAGCCTGTCACTTACATTCTGCACTACAGCTCTCACATTTACACCAGGAAAAAAAGTGGGCTATGTGATTTCCATTGCTTCTAACTTTCTGTCTCTCTGATTGGGTTATAGGAGACCAGACTCTCAGTGATCCTAGGAATGAAAAGTCTTGATGGGACACAAATTTGGGAGAGTGAATACTAAAAGCAAAAGATGGCATAAGCTGAGGCATAAGACTCCAGCATTACCAATTCACCCTGTAAATAAAAACCGTTACCTACTCCTAGGGATTTCACTAATGAGACAAAGAAGAAAAATAAAATGGATATAAATTTTTAAATGTATAAAAATTTAAACAAAACAGTATGAATTACAAAAATGGTTAGAGTAACAGAGATGCACTAACATTTAGATTAAATATAAAGTAGAGCATATCTTATACTTCTAACAAATATCATATCATAATATATAGCAGATGAAAAGATGTAGCTTCATTTTAAAAAGTCTGAATATCCATAAACCTTTCCCCATATTTGTCTTTAAAATGTATTTATGCAAGGGAAATGTTTTTCCTTCACGTATTCAAAAAAAGGTTATATTAAAAAGAGAGATTGGCAGAATTGCAAGAAAGAATCTAGACTTCAGAAATTAAATGAGACTGAGTTGCTTCAAATGAGGGTGCCATATTCCAAACTGTTTACTGTAAGAAAAGAATTCCTGAGTGCTGCATTCACCCATCCAGCCATCCGCCATCCATCCAAATATATACATACATAAGAACATACAGACATACATTTGACCATACACAATCATTCCTACTAAAAACACAGTAGCATAATAAGAGCCAAGAGGAACATAAGGACGAGTGAGAAACCATGTCTTGTTGCTTAAATGGGGAGACAAAGCTTACATTCTTACAAGGAAGTAAGGAAGTATCTATCATATGGGGCCCAAGCACCACATATGCCATGAATAGGACAAGCACATTGGGTAAGGACAACAGCCTCGTTTCAAAGACTTAGTAGCCACAAAACCATAGAGAATAACATTTCTCCTCTCTAAGCTTACATTTCTTTATGTGAAAAGACACTTACTTCATAGGGTTATCGGAGAAAGCAGTAAAATGATAATGAAAAATCCCAGTGCCTCAAGTAGACTACATGTTCAAGGTCTGACAAAGCAAAAGCAGGAGAAATAACAAAAGTAAAAATTAGAGAGTCAGAGTAAGATGTATGTGGGAACCCAGAGAAGGAAGTGATGACTTCTGATCGAGGCCATAGCCAGACATTTTGGAGAAGGTGACATAAATAGGATTTTGATAGATGACAAAAGGGTGTAAATAACGTATTAAAAGAAACGAGTTGAGCAAAGAGACACAGAGTATCAGAGATTGCACCAGTGTCCCTAGAGAACAGGACAGACAATAAGGGAACCTCCCATAGTATAGTAAAGAAGGTAGGGCATCTCAAGGTAAGGAGAGTCACCCACGATCCAACTCACCCTTATTCATAGCACTCAGCATGAAGGAGTCTAGGGGAGCCATGACGCTTCTCTCCTCCCTCTCCTGCATGCTACTTTATAGCTGACTTAATAGAGGATATGTTCCCACCCTGAACCTGGCGTGTGCATCAACTGTCATACCTACTACGACTCCCTCACATGTTTGCCTCCTATTCCATAAGGGATGCTATGCTATCTTTATTCCTTTCATTTTAGAGGGAAGTCCATTTTAGCTCTCCCCAAAAGTTAGGAGACAAAATAACAATCCCCCTGGTGAGTAGACCAGGGGAAATATTGAGAAAACAAATGAGAAAGCCAACATATGGCTCTTCTTGTCCTCGTGAAGAGGGATTCTCTTCCAGATCCCATTCCCAAGTCCCGCTATCACTAAAGAACAATAAGCCAAAGGAATGCAGTTCCACGAAATTCTGTTTAACCACAAAGATGCATCCTCCTTCAGGACCAATATAACTTCAGGCCTGCCATGGACAGCAGTAGGGCACCACAGGCATCACTTACAGTTTTTCCACAGCAGTTCTCTGACAGTCTTGCCATTGCCCTCCCTGGACAAATGATGCCAAAAGACCCACAGCCACAGCTCACCATGCCTGCTGGTGCCTGACCTCCCCATCTGTCTCCAGTCACTTTACCCAGCTCCATGTCTGGGCTAGGCTTCTGACTTCAGTCCTCCAACACTGGTAGACTAGTAAAGTGTTGACTGGGGGCAGGGTGAGGACTAGAATGAAAAGAGAGAGGCTGAACTATGTCCCACAGAGTGAAACAGTCTCACACAAAATTGCTGGTGGGGAAGGGGGTGGCGGCATGGAAACGCTAATGTAAGAACAAAGCAGAAACATCTTAGAGAGAATACGGTAATTTTTTCTTTTAAAAAAGCAGGATGAGGGAGAAAAAAATAGAGAAGGGGGGTCTGAATCTCTTTTCATTTCCTCTTCTTCTCTCAGCAACCAGAAGTCTAACTAACATTCTTCTCTTTGTTAGTACGAGTTATTGTTGAATGAGTTGGGATGAACTGCCATCATTGACTTGCAAAAATGTGGAACCTCTTCAACCACACACATGCCAGTCTTTATGCTCCCTATGGGGTTGAGTGTGTGAAAGTGCACATATGTATACACATGACACGCTGAGCTCATGTAGATCTTCAGATTCCACTTGATATAAATATTGAATGTACTGCTATTAAAACCCCTAAAACTAGGCTTCACTCACACTTGTCTGTGCGCTTCAAAAAAATGCAGATGTCACAGAGTTCTCCAGACAACTCTAACCTACAGCAGCTTAGAGGAGGAACAATAGGCAGAGAAAGCAAACCAATCCCAGGTGCTTTATCAGGTTCACTTCATATGGGCTTTCCTTTAAACCACTACATGGCAGCATTTTCAGACATTCATCCAATGGCAAGAGGGAGAGTCCACTGCAGGGTAGATGCACGTCTACAGGACAAGGGAGGGGGTAGAAGATAGTTCAGCAGGACAGTGAGTTATAAACGAAGCGAACGAGGTTCTAGTTTTGGCTCTCGCCCTAATTCACTGTGTACCCCTAGTCACACAACCCCTAAGAGTTCTCAATCTCTCCATCCCTAAAGGAAGAGTTACCTTAGATAGCTCCTAGGGAATTTTTATCCTGTGATAGTCAGTGAACCCTGAGAAACACACTACAGATTCTGAAGCTGCCTCTTTCTGACACACATCATGCTGTAAATCACTTTTATTATATTGAACTCTCCCACTTAGGGCACCCAACCCTGAAATCCCTACACTTACCTTCCCCTCCAGGTTGCTTGTATGGGTTGTACTTCGGCTTCGGAGCAACCACTGGTGCAAATTTTTTGGGTGGCTGTTGTGTGGACACTGAAATGCTGGGGGTCCCAAAGGAATGGGTGGTCTCCATCCGCGCAGGCACATGGCCAAGGGGCTCCCCGGTACTTCTGGGTGGCAGCCAAGAGGGGTGAGACATGGTTGGAATCTAGAATTTAAAAAAAATAGTGTTTTTTATGGAAACATGGAAATGGAGGCAACATATCTCAATTCATTACTATTTTATCTTAATCCATACTTGACGGAATTTTGAAAATTCTCTCTGAGAAGAAAGAAGATGGATGAAGGAAGGAGGAGGCAGGGAAGAGGAAAAGAAAAAGTGAACACTGCCACTAACTAATCTTAAATAACTCTCTTCTAACATTTACCTATGTTAGTGCCTAACACTCCTCAGGAAGTAGATACAAATAAGAAATAATCCCTAACCTGAAGGAGTTTCTATAGTAGGAGAATTGTGATGCCAGTAAGGTTGAAAAAAGCTTCAATTGTATTAATAATCTATTAAAATAATGATCACACCAGTTACGTAAACGACAGTATGTGCCTAACCAAGGCGCAAAGTCACCTAAGTAAGCATTTAAAAAGTTGTTGCTGCAGAAAAGGATAAGATCACTTCTTGCCAGCAGCAGAAGACCTCACTGATGCAGTCACCTTCAGACAGACCTTGAGTGCAGAATACAGGTTGGGCCTGAGCAATGTTAGCATAGTTACATGGACAGAAAAGCACATAGTCCCTTGCACTTAGTGTGGCTGCAGGGGGGATAAGAAAAAGTAGCTAGCAACAGAACTGAAATGTGGAATGGAACAGGCAAGCTCTGCGTGGTGCCAAAACTTATTTAGGCATTAAGGGACTCCCAAAAGTTTACTCTTGAAACAGGACAAGATACTTTAAAATGGTCCCTCTGGCAGAGGCAGTACTGCTCGCCACCAAGGGGTACTTGTAATCTGGAGGATGAGAATATTGTTTGCCACTATGCCTAGGTAATTACTGGCACTTAATGGCCAGAGGCCAGAATATTCAATACCTGTAATGCATTGGTCAGCCCCACATGACAAAGAAATAGCCCATCAAGAGCTATGCTGACTTGATATCATACTGGACCTTTATGAAAAACTTAACTAGGAGGGGGACAAACCAGCCTAGCAAAGGTGCTGTTCTAATTAGATTAAAATACACTATATGAGGAAAGAAAAAATGATGCCTTGCATGTCAGAGTGAGCCAATCACCCCTGCAGGCAGCCTGCGGGCTGGGGCTGAGCCTTGGCAACTGCTGCTGAGGAGGGCTCTCCAGGCCTGATTGCAAGAGCTCTCCAGTGGAGGGAGGCCCGGAAAGCACCCTGTACCACTCCAACCCAAAATCCACCCAGTAATTTATTAATTGAACTGAATTAATTGAGAGAGCTACATGATTACCTCCAGATGTCTGTAAAGACAAAGAGCACTGGAAACACCAGAAAAAAGTAAAAACCTCAGCATGTGACATGGCAATGGACAAATGGGGCGAAGGGGAAAGAAGGGGTACAGTGTTGTTTGAGTGTTAGCATCAGGTCACACCGGATGAGTGACATGACCTTGAGCAGCCTCCCAGTCCCCATCATGTGCCTCAGGTACTTCTACTCCCTCAAAATTAAGATAAAAGCCCTGTCCTCCTCAACTCCCCCTCAGAGTGCTTATGGCAACCAATGAGATAACAATATTAAAGTGCTTTACAGATTGCAAAGTGCTATTCAAAGGGAGAAGAGAAAAACCATTGGAAATGTAGTTTTCTCAATCAAGAAGATAACATTATCAATGAGAAGAACTCTAAACTGACAATCAGGGGGCTTTTGTTACTGAAGCCAGTAACACTGCCTTTTCAGTCTGATTGCAGGGTCTTTCCTTCTCTCTTCCTCCCTGGTATCTCGTGCACAAGCCGAGTACAGATACATTTACTAAACTGTTTCCCTGAAAGGGCAGGGAGAGTATTTCACGCATCCCTAAGTCATCATTACAAGGCCTATCACAAAACAAATACAGAAAGACAACCATGAAGGTAAACCTAGGTGCATATTTAGAATCATTTGAGAAGACTAAAATATATATATATATATCTAGATATATATATATATATCAAAACCAAGCCCATCTCTCAGGTTGAGAAGCACTAATTTTCATTATGCTTTTTTTTTTAATTGATTCTCGCTCTTCTACTAAAAGGGGATAAAAGTGTCTGTTCTGCTTTCAACATGACTAAAGTGAGCATAAGTGGGAACCAGGAGGATACAATAAAGGTTTTAACAGTTTAATGCACTAGGCACTTTTGTAGTACACATTTTATTTGTACATTTTAAAAATGGGTCAGTGTGATCCTTGCCACTTCTCTGTAACTCTAAAGTTATTCCACTATAGAAACTTTAAAAAATAGCTTAGAATAGGATGCAGTGATTTCAAAAGCAAAGATGCACATTTCCTGAGAAATCCCACATTGCCAATTGACCATGGAATCCTTCTGGGAGAGTATGAAAGACGAAAGAAAACTTAAGCATGTAGATGTAAATCATTGACTCCACCATCTTTTCATCAGCCCCAGCACCATCTATTACCCTCACATCACTCTCCCCATGAAGGCACCTCCAGCTCCACCTTCGCAGAAGGCCAGGGTCTGGCCAAGTATCTGTTTGCAGATGACCTTCACAGCATCTTTAGATATCATTCCTCAGTATGTCAACAGTGACCCAGTGACACCATTCCCAGGATTTATGATGAATGTTCATGACCCTGAACTTTTGCTCACTCCCTTCACTTTTTACCAAGCCCTTTTTTAAAATTTTGAACCAGCTCTAATATCTCTGATGTTGTAAATATTCCCCTCTAAAATGAGTAGCTTAATTCTAGCCTCTTTTAGGACTTATTTCACACTGATAACAGTTCACACAGAAGCTATTTTTCCACCTGCCGACCTGCTCCAATCAGCTGGAAGCCCCTGAGTGGTCTCACTGTACCAGCATAGTGCCTGGTTAGGAAGCCCTTAGAAATGATGCTATGCATGAATGGGTGAGTGAATAAATGCTTATCTCCTTGGTTACTCCTCCCTTCCTAGAATCTCTGTATCTCTCTCCTTAACATCCCCTGATACGATCATCACTTTTCCCCTCCCTTTATTTAGTGATGTAATGAATCATGCTGCTATATTTCCAGATGTTGAGCCAGCTTTGTGCTTCTACAAAAAGTCCTACTCCATCACAGTTGTGGTGTTTTAATATATGAATGAGCTAAATATGCTATTTTATGTAGAATTTTTGTACATATATTTGTAAGATCATTCCATAGTGTTTTCTTCTCTACTTGTTTTACTTATCATTATGAGGTTTGTACATGACGTTTCTGCATCCTTTTCTATTCTTTGTATTAGTTTAATGGTGAGGATGACATTATGTGATCTTTAAAGGTTCATCAGAATTCAATGCACAGTCATCTATACATGGTAATTTCTTAAATAATAGATCTTAATAATTATTTCCAATAACTTCTATAATTGTAGTAGTTTTATGCTTCCTCTGAGGCCATTTTTCAGCATTTAAATTCTGCTAGAAATTCTACTAGATCTTTGGGTTTCATCTCTGTTCCCTTTTGACCAAGCTAACTCACAATTAAAAGTGATGTCTATCTACTGTGCATCATTTAGAGCCTGAGCATCACTTCCTACTAGCCCTTGAATACATAGTGCATGTTCTCTATCCTCCAGTTCAAGTTGAATACACTCTCACTGCACTTCTATGGTCCCTGGAATACTGCCGACACCACACTCATCACATGTTGCTCTGCCTCTGTGCTTGCCTGTATCTCAAACTAAACTCTTCAATCCTTGAGAGGAGAAGTAATTATCATTGTCCAACCCCAGGGCCTAATACATGCTAGGTACTCAATAAAAATGTCTGTTAATTTAATGAATGAATAAATTTATTTGTCTGGTACTGGAACTCCAGATGAATAAGATTCTCATCCTGTACTCAAGAAGCTTAGGGCCTACCAGAGGGAGATATATTTATATATGTGAAATGAGAAAGAGAAAAACACAAAGTGTACAAAAAAACTGGGGTGTGTCACAGATGCTAACACAGGCTTAGTAGAGGAAACCCTTAACAAGGATGCTGAAAGGTGGTTGCCTCTAAAAGGTAAATGGAGCAACGAGGGTAATGCCTGGAAGAACTGCGAGCTCAAGAAAGAAACAAGGCATTTCTCTGGGGCAAGGAGCAGGGCACTCACACTAAAAAAATGAGGGGCTGAGGGAGAACAATTAAGGAAAAGGTTTGGAAGATAAAGTGAGTTTGTATAGTAAATGTCTTATGTGGAGAAATAAGGAGCTAGAGCTTTTATCTTTGACTAAGAATCTAATAAGAGTGAAAACTATAGGTAAGGAAAATTAATCCATGCAGGATGGTCCAAGGAAGGCAATAAACATGACAGAGTCCCTATGGCCCCAGTTCCAGTCTCACCTTTGCCAGTGTGACCTTCAACAAGAAAGAATACCCTTTTACAAAATGAATGTCTGTAAAGTCCCAAACTGCTCTAATATTCTATAGCATTTTCCTTCTCTGAAATCTTAATTGCAGACCTTTGTTTTGATAAATGGGTTTAAGGAGACCTCACAAGTTTTGTGAAGGAATAAACTCGAATATGTCGGTTTGGGTTTCCTGGCTTCTCAGAGACGCCCAGCACAAACACAGAAAAGCCGTGGTGAGAGCTGCTTTTGCTGGACCAAAACTCACCCTGCTCTTACTTCCTCTGGTTCCAGATCAGTTTCACTCTAAACTTATAATCATCATGAAAGCAAGAAGTGAAAGGGAACAACATCTCTACAGAGGCTCTGAAAATACACAAACACAATGAGAAGAGAGGAAAACAAGAGAAATGGCCCTCCTCTGAGCAAGATGCCTACTGTTGAAGGGAGTCAGAGAGCTGGGGTTGCTCAAGCACTGGTCTTTCAGGAACTGTAGTCAAATGCAAAGAAATTAAGAAGAACCTAAGAAATTTCTATTATTACCCTCTCTGTTGCTCTTCTGTCCCCTCTTAGCTGTTCAGCAGGTACAAGAACACCAACAACTGACAATAAATCACAAGTGTTTACTAAGAACTTACTGTAGGCTAAGCAATTTTTGCATGGTGAC